CTTTAAATCTTTTCAAATCTAATCTTCAATATTTGAATCTTTCAAATCTTCAGATCTTGTAATCTTTTGATTCTTCAATAATAAACCATTGATGTAATAATTTCAATAATAATAAGCTTCATAATCTTTAATCAGTAAATATTTCATTATAATATTATATTTTGTGGCTATGTTAAATATAAGTCAGGAACCTCATGAGAACTTATAATAAATCAATAAATGTGTAGAAAGATGCACAAAATACTAATCAGGAAAAAGTACCTATTATTTATCCTACGATAAAAAATTGATCTGATTGGTTAATTTTTAATCTTTCCTAAATTTATAAACCTCTCTGGTCTTTAACGCATTTTATTTTCATTTTTTCCATTAAAATTTCCTTTCTTTTTAATAAATTTACGGTAATATCAGATTACTCAAATAATGATTTTTCTGATATTGATCTTAAAGATGAATATGGTAAACTTTTTAATGAACAAGACCAAGATATAGAATATAATCCTATAAATGAGGAAGAAGGTGAAGTTAATGATAATTTTGAAAGAGAAAATGCATCTCATTCTCGTCAAACTTCGCTAACATGGAAGCATTATAATAATAATGATAATACACCTCAGCATCTTGGACTTCCAGTTTGATGCAAATGTCAAAAACCATTTGCAGAAAAACTAGTATTACAACTTTAAAGCGTCATCTTTTTCTTGTACATAAAATAAGAATAGTTACTGTAAAAAATACGCGTTCTTGATTAATAACCAGGATGTCTCAAAATACCAGAGATTGACTGATATCTCCAATACGAATCCACACCTATTCTTAGCGACCTATCAGAGATATATCCAAGTCCACTGGACCATCTGTTCATTTTACTGCATAAAAACATATTTTTAATCCAGTGACAACACTGTCTTAAACATAATTAATAATAAGTAATGACTTTATTTTTATAATTATTTCTGCTATTTTCAATTTTTATTTTCGATTTGTTTCATAAAAACTTATTGTTAAATATTACATGTATATACTGTAAATAAATTTTTTTTTCAATATATCCATTTTATCCTAATAAATTAACAAATTCGTAAATTTTTTTATCAAAAAACTTTTTGTATTTCATATTAAATTTCATAATAATTCCTCTGCTGTCATACCTTCGTGGCGTGTGTACTGGTGATAAAGTACTGGCTAGTCAGATCAATTTAAACAACGAATATTCAAATACATATTATGATTCTATAACTAAACTGACTCATCTGAACTTCTGATGATTGATAATATTAATTTTATGAATATATCATATAAAAATAGAAAAGTTTTAATAATAATATTTTAATTATTATAACGTGTGAAATGGTGTGGTGGTCGTGGTGGTAATACTGTGGTAGATTGTGGTAAGTGTACATAATCCAAATCGGATTTTTAATTGTGAATCCGGAGCGTCGACTCAATTTACTAGCATTTCATTTTAAGGATAATGCTGCCTCGGATTATGTAACACCCAGAGTAGAAATTCAATGATTCATTCCGGATAATATGTTCAATCATCATTACGATGTAAACACGGTAAATCGAAGCGCTTGGATAAGGCGGAAAGGTCCTTGCTCATATTATATGGTTATTGGAAGAGGTACAAAAGCCAGAAAACGATTCACAAAGCGGTGAAGAATCAAGGAAAATAAAAAGGGTAAAATCATTAAGTAAACTTGCGGAGGTAGATAAGTCTTAACATAGAAAAATTCGTCACCTATGTGTTACGTGTCCCTGTATTTATTGTTTATCTGTATTAATAAAAAAAAAATATTGGTCATCTAAATCAATTATACCACACTGTGCGAAAAAAGTAATTTACAAGCAAAAAATTGACTTTGGTTATTAAATCATCAACAATAAATTTTCCGTAGTTCTCTGATCACAAATCTATGTAAGTTTACAAAATATTAGTATTTTCTATTATATCTGGCCTTCCGACGATCTCTCATAAAATTGTTTAACTTTAGCACCAAATTTTTCTAACCACTTCCCTTCATCAGTTATTTTCCACCTTATACTCGCATCCTCGACGAACGCAACAAGTGATTTTAGCTCTCCCTCAAACTTGCCTATTAATTCTGAAATCGACATTTTCTCTCCAAACTTGATAATTCCAATGATTTGACATAATTCGCAGTAATCCTGAATAATTGCTTGACATGGATCGGAGTGAAGTTGCAACAGAGTTGCAAGGCCGAAATCTATAAGATAAAAATGACCATTCCTATGTATAACGTTTCGTATGGCCACATCTCCATGTGTGTAACCACGGGCATGTATCTTCTCCAAGCACAATAATAGATCCAGAATTATTTCAGAAATCCATGATTCCAGTGGTTGCCTCGCAAAATCGGTTAGTAAAACCAGGAATCCTTCCTTTATATAACCTTCGAAGAGAATTGTGGGAACGCAAGAAAGATCACCTAGTCCATGCAACGCTGATATTTCACGGTAAACTTGAGAGATTTCAGTGTCTTTGCGTGAGACACCCTTAGGAATTAATTTACCTTCAAAACGGCATCCTTTATTTCATATTCAAAAAAAATGTGGTGTTTTTTATAGTAATTTATTATGAAAATTTCGTCTATCAATTTAGAACTCTAAAATATTTATTATTATTACGGAACGGAATTGAAATAATTTAACAATGCATCATTTATTTATAGTACAATTTTTATGGAGATAGAGCATGTGAATATTATGAGAAAATAGCCAATAAAAAATTGCTCAATGGAACAATTTAGATTAGGTTAGTTTTATAAAAATGGAATAAATGTTAAAATTTAAGATTTAAAAATATCTACACATTGGTATAAAAAAGCTGTAAATAATGGACAATTGATGGCTATATATGATCTTAATTTCTTATATAAAAATGGAAAAGTATTGAGGAGGTTTCGGAAAAGTCTATCGCGTAATCTGCCAAACGTTCTCGTAATTATTTAACATTAAATTTACGATAACGTCACGATTAAAGAAATTGTTATGAAGTAATTATAATATTTAAATCTCTAATCTGCATGGTATACAACTTTACGTAATTATTGATCGTCTGACTGATTTGTGCGACAGCTTTAAAATCAGTTGATGAAATTTTTTTTTACGTGATTTTATTTGGATTTTTTTTTTAAAAAAACCATATTTAATGTAAATGTATAACAATACTCAACTTCAACTACTACATTGGAGACTACGCAACAAGGCTGCCCTTACACCCTGTGTGCCCTGCCCGGGAGATCATGAGTCTCCAGAACATAACGGGCATCCACAGCACTGTTAGCGTCAGTCTCAAGCCTCCAGTCTCCTTCAGGAATGTCCTTGACTTCTCTGCCTCGTGTAATGGCGCGCAGGTTGTCCGACGCCTGTCAGACTGGTTGCAGTTGCGAGGTTGTCGACCAAATTTGATGCAGGATAAGTATAGTTTTGATTAGTTTATTTTGCTCAATTTTTTGAAAGAGCAGGACCTCAATTGATGGTGATTTTAATATTCTTTGCAAACAAATAGCTCTTTCATTCAATGATAATACGTTCAGCTTGGCCTCAACTCCGATGACAAAAGAGTTTTCACACTCTGCATGGAAGAAATTACTTTTCCTTGTAACAAGGCTGGCCTTACACCTGTGCGCCCTGCCCGGGAGATCATGAGTCTCCAGAACATAACGGGCATCCACAGCACTGTTAGCGTCAGTCTCAAGCTTCCAGTCTCCTTCAGGCATGTTCTTGACTTCTCTGTCTCGTGTAATGGCGCGCAGGTTGTCCGACGCCTGTCAGACTGGTTGCAGTTGCGAGGTTGTCGACTAAATTTAATGCAGGATAAGTATAGATAGTTTATTTTGCTCGATTTTTTTTAAAAGGACCTTAATTGATGGTGATTTTAATATTCTTTGCAAACAAATAGCTCTTTCATATGTTCGGCTTGGCCTCAACTACACAATAGAGTTTTCACACGCTGCATGGAAGAAATTACTTTTCCTTGTAACAAGGCTGGCCTTACACCTGTGCGCCCTGCCCGGGAGATCATGAGTCTCCAGAACATAACGGGCATCCACAGCACTGTTAGCGTCAGTCTCAAGCCTCCAGTCTCCTTCAGGAATGTTTTTGACTTCTCTGCCTCGTGTAATGGCGCGCAGGTTGTCCAACGCCTGTCAGGCTGGTTGCAGTTACAAGGTTGTCTGTCATTTCAGATGCGAAAAAGGACCAATTTTGATGTAGGATAAGTATAGTTTTGATTAGTTTATTTTGCTCAATTTTTTGAAAGAGTAGGACCTTAATCTCGATGAGGATGATTTTAATATTTTTTGCAAACAAAGGTTACAGGTTCCTTTCTTGAGTTAGCCGAAGAGAAGCTGACATTCTGAAACGGTAATTACGAAGGGAGTAAGGTTAGAATTTTCGAATTTTTTTATTTTATACAAGAATGTTGCTAGTATGATCTTTCTTTTTTTTTTTATAGGAAGTAGGAACAGACTTTTCCGGTGCCAATTCCCGGAGGTAATTTCAAGCGAGAAGGTGATTTTTTTTCTATATTTTGATGTAAGAACATTACTAACGATCTTTGTTTCCTGTTTTGTAGGTACATCTCTTTCATCAATAGCAACAACAAATGACTTTCTAAAGCATTAATCATTTGTCCTAAATAAGGAGTGAGTACGGCTATTTCATCAGGTTAGTATATCCAATTCTAACAAATACCATCTCAACAACCATTTTAATTTCATATCTATTTACATGAAGATTCATACAGAAAACGGTATTGGACAGCAACATTTGTTTCCAAGTCATTTTTGAGTGAAATATGGTTATGGTAAACGTATTTTTGTTTAATTTTTGTAAAACTTAATGGTGAAACTGGGAAGGGTTAAAAGTGGGGTTAATTAACGAAATAATGAAGTTGATAAGAAATTGAGTTAAATGTAATAATAATTAGCATGTAATTGTAGTTTAAAATTATTTATTAAATTTATTCGAAAGTTACATTTTTTTGAAAAAGTGAATAAGTATGATTCTTTATTATTTATTGTTCTAAATTTTATCTCTTAGGTAGTACCCAATACACTATCAAGAGTGGTTTCAATATCAAACGTATTTGAACCATGATTAATAGTAATGGGATGAGGTTCAATAACGACACTTACATTTACATTAAGTAATCTATTCAATTCGGAATCATCTATGTTGACCCATCTTTCAATTTCTATACTTCTAGTATCTAAGGAATTACTATTATCATTATTCTCATTATCGTCGTCATCACTATCGGAAAAATCATCATCACTAATCACCCTTTACTTTAGCATTAGATAAAGCTTTTGTACAGGTGACTGAAAAGAATCTTCTGATAATCCCGTACAAGCATATTTTATGTATAAAGCTTAGCTATAGCTTCCAATTTTTCAACTTTTAATCTGTTTGTATATAAAATATTAAAAAAAAAAAACGTAATAATTGAATCTCAATTAGATAAAATGATATTTAAAAACTTACTTAGTTCGTCTTTTATTGGTAAACCATTCCAATATAGAGAAGACTCTTTCGCATCCTGCGTTATGAGGCGTGATAGATAGAATTTTCAGTGCTAATTTTTGTATATGATTTTCCTCTTCAGGGACAGGATTGCACATTCGCCATCAGGTAATAACATCTTCATTATTGCTAAAATTCAATATCTCTAAGTAAAAAGAACGAATTTAAGAAATCAATTTAGCAGCAGAAGTTTCACCACCGCCAAAATTTTCATGGCCAAAAGATAAATGTCGCTGAAAACAGTAGGAAGTAAACCTTTTCCTAAAATTATTATAAAATTATAAAAAAAAATTATTATTTAATTAAAAAAAAATAATAATAAATATTTACCTCTATAATTCGGATGGAGTAAATATGCTAAAAGATGTCAAATTCTTGCCAATGTTTATTAAAAAGTTTTTAAAATGCATTATGTTTAAAATCATAATCAGAAACAGGTGGTAATGATTTGATTTTCTGTGAAAGTTTAATTAATTCAACAAAACAGTCAGAAAGTGATGTTGTTTTGATTTAACATCGGATTTTACTGGTCCACATCAATAAAAAATGATCGACTTTGAATAAGTTTTTGTTAACTTTTCTGGTATTTCGTCTAATATCTAAATTATAAAAAAAGTGAGTATCATATAATGGCGTTACATAAATAATTAAAGATATTTTCTTGCTTTTATAGTAATTTTTGCGAAATGCTATTGGTGCAAAGTGCAGTGTGTGAAGTCAAGAATTTTATTTGCGAAAAAAATGGGGCTTATGAGAAATTCAGTTGTCGTACAGGAGTACATGCATGTGGCTCGAGCTGATGATCGATCAGTCGCAAAGCTATCATATATGTTGATTTTTTAGCCATCGTCATTCAGATTATCTGATTCAAATCTGTGGACCCGGTATTAGACACGCCAAGAAATCAAACAAACTAACTTTGTTATTACTTTGCGGAATATACTCGTTTGATTGATTGTTGATATTAGTTGATGTAATAGTGGTAAGTTTGAATATTTCTTTTGATTCTTTTTGCTTTACTTGCACAAGGCGGATACTAAATAAGGTCTCACCTTTTTATATGATTTCATTATTGTCATCAATTTTTCTGTCTCTTTAAAAATATAGTTTGTACTTTGTAGCTCTTTCTAGTGAGCAAATTAAGAAAAACAACGCCTTATCTGCGGGTCAATACGACTGAAAAATGTTACAAATGCTTTCTCGATAAAAAAAAAATCAATATCTACAGTATTATAGTGGGTTAGCTTACAATTCATTTTTTTGTGAATTGTAAAAATAGTATGTATAATTTAACTGTAGAGAAAGACCATATCAGATTTGTATTAGGTCAAACAATAATTGAAATAATCGCAATTTGCAAAGAATTTTTATTTAAAAAAAAGCAATTACAATTATATTTTGTATAATATGAAGGAAAAAATATTTGAAAAAAAAACTAATTAGATTTCTTTAATTAAAAATAAATTCCAATCTTTCAGACTGAAAGTTCCAAGTAGTTCATTGATTCTGATGGTATGTGCTACATCTTCCTGGTTGGTGTTAATCTGTTAGAAAAAACAGAGAAATTATACTAATGATAATAAAATATTTAAATGATGAAAATGAAATTTCTCATATCAAATCTTATGCTTTGCTAAATTAAAAATATTTTTATATATAAAATTAACATTATTAAATTTAATTTCTATATATTTGCATTAACAAATTCATTATTGTAACATTAAAATTTTTAACTCATTGTTATTATTATAAAAAAATCCAATTTTTTATTATATAACTTGTGTTAACAGCACACCCAATGTCATGTGCTATTTATACTTTTCTTAACTAGGCCATCCGACAATCAAGATTAAGTTCCCGTATATTTGAAGGTCCCTAAAATATATCGGTACATACAGTATTTGCTACTTCAAAGTTAAATTACATAATTTCGTAAAGAATGAGAGACATGCATAATTTCTCGTTTAATTACACACAAACTCCGGGAATGTATATTTCGGAATCCTTTAACTTCTTTTTCAGTCGTAAAATTTATTTTAATAACTGATAATGTTGTTGCTAGATATTATTGTTGATTTGATGAATTGCCGTTACTTTTACTTTGTTTCCCTATTATTTTCTATTATTTCATATTCTTTGTAATAATTGCTTTCAATCGAGAAACTACCTGGTGTATAATTGGATGATTATCTGGTTCACTATTTCAACATTCTAAAAAATATTAATTTATTTCAATGTTAAAATGATACATTGACTATAGATTTAATTTTTTTTTCATTGATATTATGAAAATTAATAATTTATTAATAAATAATATGCACGAACCAAAATAAATTACATGATTTTACAGTCATCACACCTAACTTTTGAGAGTTGATATAATTTATTATGAGCATCTTCATGTCCTTGGTCAGCAGATTTTCTATACCAATAAGTTGCTTTATCAAAATCTTTTGTGGTTCCGTATCCATTTTTATACATAAAAGCAAGATTATATTGAGCTTGACTATCCCCTAATTCTGCTGCTTTGTGGTATAGTTCGAATGCTCTACACTTATCAATTTTGGTTCCAATTCCACATTCATAACAACGTCCTAATATAACAATTCCACCCAAATATTCTTCAGATGATCTTTAAAATAATTTGAAAGCTTTAACATGATCTTTATTAACACCATCTCCATTTAAATATAAAAGGCCAAGATTGTATATCGCTAATATATTTCCGTTATCTGCAGCTTTTTGATACCAATGAGCAGCCAATTTTAAATCTTTTATAATACCTACTCCCATACAATAACAATAACCTACATTTGATTGTCCCGCTGCATAATCTTTATTTGCTACTTCGTCAAAATAACCAAAAGCTAATTTTTCATTTTTTGTAATTCCATACCCGTTGTGGTAACATATTCCAACGTAATAATTTGCTAATACATATGATTTTGATTGTCCTGATACGCTATTATTTGATTTATTAGATGCATATTTAAATAATTAAAATGCCTTTTCATAATTCTTACTTGTCTCGACTCCCATATAATAAAAATATCCAAGCAAAACCATGGAATCTACGTCATTCTGATTATCTAGTAATTGTTTGTAAATTTTCAGTGTATCAATTTCATTTTTATTAAAATAATCAATAATGTTCTGCTTTATTAAGGTTAGTTCCTTTTTTTCTGTTATTGTAAAAACAAAATCTAATATCTCTTTAATTATTATATTCGGATCCTCTTCTTCGAGTAAAACACTTGTCTTTTTATTGGATGATTTTAAAGCTCCTGTAGTTATTTCATCAAAAATTTGAGATAATTCACCTCCAACTAATGAATTGTTAATACTTATATGAGTACTTGAACTAAATGTTGGATCATAAATAATTTTTGCATTATCTGACGTATTAATAATTTTTTTCAATCTTGCGACTACGTCATTAATAGTTGGGCGGTTATCTGGTTCACTATTCCAACATTCTAAATAAAAAAAGTAACTATTAGATAGAATGTCGTTGATAACGGGTTGACCACTAGTATAAATCATTAAAATTATATTTACCAACATAAAGCTCAACATAATTACCAGGTGTACCTGGAACAATGGTTTCTCTGAGACCCTGTGCAATTCGTGCGGCTAAATCACAATTATATTGTTCATTTTCGAAAGGTGGTCTACCACTTGTTATCTCCCAGAAAAGCACACCAATACTATAAACGTCACTTTTTTTATTTAACGAATATGGTTGCTGTCCGGCGAATCCTTTTGGATCAATATAAGGAATAACGCCAAATAATTTTGATTGAGAGTTGGATATTTCTTTAATTCTTTTTGATAATCCAAAATCAGATACCTTAATAGCATTCTGATGAAATAACACGTTTCCAGAATGCTATGAGATGATATAAATTATATAAGTTATTTGACACAAATAAATCTTTCGAATTATTAAATTATAATGAATTACCAAGTCGCGATGTATAATTCCTTCATTATGTAGACATAATATTGCACAAGCCAATTGATATGCCAAGTTATATTTGTCATTCCAAGTAAGATTAATGAAGTTTTTTTTCAAATAGTTTTGTAGGGACCCGCTATCAGCATATTCAATTACCAATAAGTACTTCATTATATCATTTGTATTTTCTAAACATTTTTTTTTAAAAAAAAGTTATTTAGTGTTGTATTTACGGGCAACTGCAATTGTTTAAACATAAACGTCGAGGACATCCAGAATTGAGATGTAATTTTTGAATGAAATTTAAAATATTATATTCTTTATAATACCTGATTCAAATTTTGTTATTCCATGACAACGAATAATATTATCATGAAAATCAATTTCACGTTGAATTTTTAACTGAATAAATTTAAGTTTTGAAATTAATAAAATTATGGAGATAAAAAAAATATATATTATAATATTAAATTACCTCACGAACAATTTCTTTCATGATGACATTATTAAGAATAAAAAAAGATTTCAATGCAAATTTTTTCTCTGAATTTTCCCAATTTGCACGATACACTTTTCCAAAATTTCCGGTACCAATTTCTTGAAAGTTACTAAATTTTTTGTATTCGTAATATTTAAGTTGATTTTTATTAATAGCTTCTTCAATCAAATCAATCCATTCATTTGAATTATCTTCGATGTTAATATTTTTACTATTAGACATAGTTGTAGCTCCATTGTTGTTATTAACTTGTTCATTTATTAATAAAGTAGATTCTATTTCTTTCACATTTGTATAATCAAAATTTTCTTCTGTTAACATATAACCAACTAAGCCTACATGATATTCTTCTTCATTATTAATTTTTAGACTTGTATTATCTGAAAATAAGATGTATACATGAATATTTATTTCAACATTCGCTGTATTTTCTTCTTCATTGTCTGACTCATCGATTATACTTAACTTTAGATTATTAAAATTTGAATTATTATAAGTGGATTCAATTATTTGAAAACTGGTATGATTTTTTGACCATTTAGCTAACTTCATATTTATAGGATAAGCATTTATTAAAATAGTATATCCTTGAGATAATGGAAAATCGTTTATTTCAATTTGATAGTACGATTTGTCTGGTTGAATTGACATTTCTTTTTTAATATAAACTACTTCAGCTTCTCTATTCAATGGACTAAAGACTAATAATTTTGAAGGATTTCCAATAATCATCCATAGAATATAACATTCTGAAATATTAATAACTGGGGTTCTTAAAGTTTTTATCGTTGCGGTAAATCCATTAAAATCATATAAATTGAAATCCACCAAAAATTCTTCCAATTTTGAATTATTTTTCGAAATAATAGATCCAAAAACTTCATAATTTTCGTCTTCCAGTGATGTTTGTATATTTATACGTTTATAATGCTCGGTATTGTTATTATTCAAATCTTTTAAATCCGTAATTCCGCTCATTATAATTTTATAATTATCTTTCTTATTCAATACAATATCAATTTTTCTCTTTTGTTCTTCTTCAAGAATTTCATACAAAGAAGTAATTTCGTCATACTCTATAACTTCTAAGTTATTCTCTATTTCTTGAACCCAATTAGATAAATCATTTTTTTCAATAACACCTCCTTTTTGTGTCAAAAAATATGAAATGTCTAATTTATCTAAATGAGATTCAACTATTGATGGTTCTAGCTCTAATTTATCGCAAGAATTTGAAGAAATTGGTAAATTAACCTTTAGAGACTTCCCCAAAATAATTTTTTGTGGAAATAAATTCCCATATTCATTAAATGCACTTTGTAAAGACATAAGTGGATTCATACTTTTAAGTGCTTTTTCTATAGCTCGTTCAAATCTTTCTGAAGGTTTAATGCTAGTCAATATAATTTCATATTTTTCACATTTAACTAGGAAATGTGTACAACATCCATAATTTAGATCATCAGGCTTAACAACTCTCTTAATAAATGGAAAAGAGCTGAGATCTTTGATCGAGAAAATATTATTAGAAACTAAAAAACTTTCTAATTTTGTTGACGGCTTTATTATTGTTAAATAAGATTTATCACTTGAAGCTACACGACTAACACGAGGAATATCAATGAATTTAATGGGAATTTTCTTACTAATCTCTAATTCAAAGTGTTTACTAACTACTAAACCATAAAGAAGACGAAAATCTTTAACCCATCTTGTTAGATTAACATATACTGAATCTTTAACCCAATCTTCTAAACTCAATTTTTTCTTGAAATTAGCTATTCCAGGTTGCCTTTCATCAACAATTTGAAAAGTATTTGTGTTGACTTTCAATTGAGAAATAGGAATAAGATCATTGTAAGAAATTATATCAACCATATTATTTTGATATAAATTATTCATCCAATCTCTTAAGTCTTCAGGTGTATTTAACTGTTTATCATCTGATGTTCTTATATTTGGAAAGGAATCCAATGATAAAGTAGATGAATCATTAAATTGACTCTCTTTATCATATTTAGCTGAATTATATGCCCAAGTTAAATGAACTTTGTAAAGGTCAATGTGTATCAATTTAAAATTATCAATAAATAGTTTACCGCCAACCAAAATTTTCCTTGGAAATAGATGCCCGTACATTTCATGTAATCTTTCATCATTATCCATAAATTTTGAAAAGGATTCTGATAAATCAGATTTATAAGTAACTTCAGCTATTGGAAAATTGATACATATATCTGATTGTCGTAAGGCTTTTCTATAGTTAATAATATTATTATTTTCAGGAAAAGCCAACAAATTTGTATGAGAACTGTGATCATTTATAAGAGTATATACTGAAGGCTGTCCTTCATATAAACTTATATTCACTTCACCATCTTCCGAATATATGGCTTGTCTACTCGGTTTTATGTTATACCCATTCAAGAATAAACCATGATTCAAATTAAAGTGTCGAATCATTTGATGCTTAAACGATATTTGTTCAGAAGTAGTAGACGACGAATTATTAACTGACTCCGAAGCAAGCGGTGATTTTTCTAAAAGGTTTCTCAAGAATAAGTCTTTTTTAAATATTTATAAGTTATGTAAATTTTAAACTTACCCTTAGATTTTTCATTACTCTTGTCGTTTTGAGACAATTCTCCTTTTAATCTAGTAATTACTTGATTGATAGTTGGGCGATTTTCTGGTTCTTTATCCCAACACTCTAAATAAATAAATAAAAAATGAATATTGGGTATTTAAAAAATATTAAAAACAAAATGAATGATAATTAATATTCACCAGTATAAATTTTCATATAATTTTCAGGTGTATCAGGAAAAATTGTTTCTCTAAGGTTATCTGAAATTCGTACAATTAAACTATAAGGTGATATTCCTTTAAACGGTGGCTGACCACTTGATATCTCCCACATAAGTACACCTATACTATAAATATCGCTCTTTTTATTTAAAGAATATGGTTTAAAACCGAATTTTTTAGGATCCACATATGGGACTAAAGCAAGATCGAATGTTTCATAAATCCTTTTTGATAATCCAAAATCCGCCAACTTAATCGTGTTTCGATGGACTAATATATTGAGAGAATGCTATAAAAAATGTAATATAATAAAAAATATAATAAAAAATAAGTAGATGCAAAAATATGATATAATATTGATAATAAATTACCAAGTCACCATGTACAATTTCTTCATCATGTAAACATGATACGACACAAGCCAACTGGTATGCCAGGTTATATTTATTATCCCAAGTAAGATTATCAAAGTTTTGTTTCAAATATTCTCGAAGAGAACCCCCATCGGCATACTCCATTACCAAAAGATAATTTTTCAATTGATCTTCTAGCAAATAAAAGAAAAAATCAGATTATTAAATTTTATACAAATAACATATTATTCTAACATACTCGTTGTAATTCCATAGAATTGAATAATGTTATCATGAGAACCTATATCTCGTTTAAGTTTAAACTAAATTACGAATATAATTTGAATGAAATAAATATAAAGTTTGTATAATATAAACACTAGAATGCGCATATTATATTTCATAATTACCTCATGAACAATTTCTTTTACAATAACATTATCGAATCTATAAAAAGATTTTAATGCTAAATAACTATGAAAATTTTTCCACTCTGCACGATACATTTTACCAGAACTTCCGGAACCAATCTCTTGAATATTACTAAAATGTTTGTATTCATAATGTTTAAAATATTCATTATCGATAGCTTCTTCAATTCGTTTAATACATTCGTTTGAATCTTGCATTTCGACATTTAGCAGACCTTTTCCGATTTCGCAAAATAATATCGCAATCTCGTGATAAATTGTAATGCAACACGAGATACCAAATAAAGAGGTCGTCTAAAGCGGGGGCAAATCACGTGATTCGGTGTAATTTTAATTAGATTAATTTTTTATAAAGAAAGATTAATAGAAACTTTAAAATCATAGTATAAGCGTATTTTTATCTGCTTTGCAAGTTTACTTAAGGATAAAAAGTGGATTATGAATATTGTTTTTGACTTTACATATGAATGAACGAAACTTTGCCGATCATATCCAAAAATGGATAACGAAATTGAAAAAGTCAAATAAATCAAAAACAGCATTAAAAACCCTACTCTGCGCTCTAAGTAAACTTGCAGAGCAGGCAAAAATGCATTTAGAATGTGTGTTTAGAATGGTTGAATATATGGTAAAAAGTTTTATTTTATGAAAACAATTTTTTTCGAAGTCACGTGATTTGCCCCTGCTTTAGACGACCTCCAAATAAAGTAAGTAAAAAAATAGTAGTACTGAAATTTAATAACAATTTTTTATGATAAAACTCAATAATATTTTAATAATATAAAATACATGATATACGGTAAATTAAAATATAAATGATATAGATAATATAAATAATATAAATAATTTATATTTTTTGTAATTCTTAGCTATTTCCCTAACTATTCCTAAATAATAAATTATCTGTTAGTATGTAAAAAAAAAAAGTATAGATGAAAAAAAAAAAATACCTGATATCTGGATCAAAATATGCATATTCAATATTTTTTTCTGATAAAATTAAACCATCCTTACATATACAACATGCTTTACATTTACAATCAATATATTGTAATTTAATTTCCCCACCTTTCTGATACAAAAAAATTGGACCAAGATTAGTTTTTTCAGTAGAATATAAACTGATATATTTTGTATTTAAATTAATTAAACAATTTTTAGTAATATTTAAATTAAACCTGAACCTGGTGTAAAATTTTTTTTTCTCAAATGTTTGATTGCCAAAAGCATTTGAAATGTGATAATTTGATATAATCAGTATGTAAAAAGTAAATTCGGGTAAATTGACATAATGTCCTTTTTTTACACAATAAGAGAAAGTACATGCTCCAATTTTATCTTTTTCTTGAGCGTTAAAAAAATGATGCCCAATAACGAGAGAATTATTTGAAGAATCTAATTTACTTAATACAGGAATTCCTAAACAAGGTGGAAATTTCCCAATTAGAGGATTATATTCAAAATTTAATAAATCTCTCTCAAATACAGTTGGATTACTTAATGTATTAAAATCTTTTTTTAGAACTTTTAATTGAGCATTAAAATCTGAGAGTATAAAATTTAAGTCCGTATAATCAGTATAATACCCAATCACCATCCAGCCAATTTTCAATTTGTATCTACGTTTTTTAAATTTCTTCTTCTGAATACAATGAATTAAAAGACTTGGTTTACTATTCGGTGGACAATAAACTTGCCAGGTAAAAAAATCATCTTTTGATCCTGTTATATCATTTATAGTTGCAAAGACATTACAATCTGCATCCTTATTTTGAATCATTTTTGAAATATTTAATGGCATATTTTTTAATTCAAAAATATTTGGTCTTCCAAATTCCTCTAATTTATAATCAAATTCTTCAAATTTTAAGTGATGAATTCTTTTTCCAACCAATTCAATAACTCTTTTACGTAAATCAGCAGGTAAAAGTTCAAAAATACTAACAGGATTTTGAAATTCTATGCAATCCCAATTTCTATAATCTTTTAAAGATTTAATCCAAGCTTTTTCATCAAAATTTTCAATACTATCGGGCTGTTCTCCTCCAATTAAATTTTTACATTTAGATTTATAGTTATTTGAAATTCCTATTGAATTATCATAAGTGTTTGTTAATTCAGCCTTTATAACAGATGCTTTTGCATTCAGAGAAACTTTGTCATGATCTTCTTCATTATGTTTTGTTGACATAATAATACCATCTAGGTAAGCTTTTCCACCCATAATAATTTCAGTTGGAATGAATTGGCCAAATTTTTCAGTAACTTGCTGAAGATTTCTAGCATCCTCAAAGTCAACGGCTTCCTTCACTGCTTCAACAAATTCTGGAGATGCTTCTAAATATTCTCTAAATTTCAATGTTACTTTTTTATATATTGTATAATAACAAGTAGTATTAGTTTCAGATTTGAATTTTTCATTCTTTGATGTTCCAATTGACATCCCTAATTCTACAAATTTCTTTACATCACTAATATTAATATTAAAAAATAAATTAGTTTTCATAAATCGATCTTGTTCCGAATTAAATTCAACTTCCCCATTTAAACAACCTCCAGCATCAAATTCGGCCAATTCACAATTTTTCATTATAGATGCCCTTTTTTCTGCTTTCTTAATTCCATTAAAAGTCATTGTACATCCAAATTCCAATTTACGTAAATTATTCAAAAATTTCCAATTAGGTTTTGAACAAAATTTTAAGTATAAAATATTTCCACTTTTATCTATAATTTCATTTAAAAGGAATTCATCTTCTTTTTTAAATGGTATTTCAATAAATCTTTCTTCTCTTTTTTTTGAAAATAACAATGTATTATTAATAATATTATCATTATCATTTTCTAGTTTTTTACGAATTTTTGATAAATTATCTGTAAGATTTAAATCAACTAATTGTGATGACTTAGTATCTAAATTTTGTACTTCTACTTTAACATTACTGGAGAAAATATTCTTAAGATTGAAGCTCATTTTAGATTGATTTTGTTTGTTGTCATGACATTGAATAAATTAAAAAAATGTGTAATCAAATAAATATTCGCCAAGTTTAGCGAGAAACACAAAGTTTACGAAACTGGTAAAAGATAATTCGCTGCTTTTATAAGGATTTTGTACAACTAAGTGTAATACAATGTTAGAGATTGAACAATCAACCAAGGTTAGTAATTTAGTGATCATATATCTACCAAAAAAATCAATAATTTCATAATTTCTGATCCAATAAATATTTTATCTTTTAATAATATTACAGTAGTTTTATACAATTAATGTGATGTTACAGATTATAGTGAAAAAGTAAAATAAAAAAAGAAACCCGATAAAAAATAATATCTATTTTTGAAAAAAAAAAAGCAATGAAAAAAAAATAATAATAATAATTATGTATTATATATACTGTATGAAAAAGAAAACGAGATAAAAAAAGAATTTTTTTTTTTTGTTTGTATTAAAACGATGAATCTAAAAGATATTAGAAATAATTGTTTTTTGCCGTAATAAACGTAATAAAGAAAAAGGAATTTCATAAAAATTAATCTTAGAAATTAAAAACTAAAAGCGGAGATACAAATACATTATTCGATAAAATTGAGTGAAGAACATGAAATCTGTAAACTTTTTTTAATCTTTGATATCTGATATTGTCTATTTTTTTGTTGTTGAATGAAAAAAAGAAGAAAATCTATTAATACAAGAAAAAAATAAGATATTTTTAAAGAAAATAATTTCGTAAATAAATAAAATAAATTACAACTTAGCAATAATTTTGCTAAAAAGGAACCCATAAATAATATTATATAACACAAATATATATATTACATATATATTCCCGCGTTTTTTAATCGGTTATAGTTCCAATCAGAAGATTTTTGTTAGTGGATGTGGATGTTGGTACTTAAGGTAAGTCGGTAGAAGCAGCATACCGAATGCGCCAAAGTATCCAGAAGCAATCATCACATAGGATCCTCGGACAAGGAGCTCGTGGTACTCGTGGTACTCGACGTATGATGTTTGAGAGGAGGCTTAGATCGATGAATTATTGATTTCATCAATGGATGAAGGAATGATTCTATAAGAATTGAAAATTGAATATAAGCAGTCTTGTCATTACTGTCAACAATACAGTCAACCCTCCTTATAACGAAGAATTCTTTTTTCTATTATTATTATTTTTAATTATTTTTTCTAAATTATTATTTTTTTTTCTTTTTTCTTTTTACTTTTTTTTCTCTTTTTTTAATTATAATAACCGTATCAATTAACAAAACTGATTATAATAAATTCGTTACATCCGAAATTCTTTCGTTATAACGAGAATTGACTGCATAAGTACAGTCCTAAAAGCACATAAACTTGCTTTTCTTGGCCATAAGCTCTTCCATTCGAGATTCGAGTTGCCTTCGTGCCTTTTCGGCGCTTTCCTTGGCTTTCCGTTCTTCTTCCAATATTGTTTCGATATCCTTTTTTTCTTGATATACTGATGTTCTTGCATATTCGAATTGTGCCGTAGTTTCGTCTAATTGAGATCGAAGAGTTTTTGTTTGTTCAATAAGTTCTGTTTTTTCCCTTTGTAAAATATGTAACTGTTGCTTGGCTACTCGAAGGTTTATTTCGTTTTCATCCAGAGAAGTCTCCAAAGTTTCAACAAGTCGTTTATTTTGTATATTTTCACCTTCAATTTTGGCCATTTTTCTATGGAGTTTTTGGATTTCTGTCGTAAGGTCACCCGTTGGAGTAACATTACCACAATCATTTGATCCGTTTCTTGAATGTGGCGGTCGGGGTATTCCCGGTGTTGGCGGTAAAGGTTGATATGGTGGTGGTGTAGGTGGTAAAGGTTGATTTGGTGGTGGCGTTGGTGGTGGTGATTTTACCAAATTAGCGGCTGCAACAATATTTGGACGTATTGATTTGTTAGATGACGTTGACATAATCGATAAGTTTGATAATCGAACACCTGTAGGGCCTGAAGTTCCTGTAGGTCCATCATGCTCGTTAATTGAAATTGCTCCAAAGGATGGACGACGTTTAGTTTCGGTTTCTACTCTACGTTCAAGGTCACTAATCTTATCTTGTAAAATCTTGATAAGATTATTTTGTTGAGAAATGGTACTTTCTTGTCTTTGTAATTTAGATTTTATAGAATTATTTACATCTGATTTTGGAGTATTCTGAGCTTTTGAATTTATAGAATCAAAAGGTGTTCCGTTTGATATTTGTGACCTTAATTCACTTATTTCTTTTTCAAGTTGTTCATTTATGTTCAATAATTTTGAAATCTCATTTTCCATTTCTTGATTATCTATTAACGATTGTTGTTTCAGACAGTTATGTTCATAGTCAAGTGAAATTAATTTATTATTCAATTCTGCAAGTTGAGTTGCTGTCTTATTTCCACCACGTCCAGCTGATTGTAATTGTTTCACCAAAGATTCAACCTTTTGATCAAGTTTTTTACATTCTTCTTTGAATGCATTATTAGCTTGCTCTAACCCTTCTTTTTCCGCCTCAATCTCGGTAATTTTTTCTTTCAATACTTCAACTGTAGCTCCATTAAGAGAATCCTTAGAGTTATTTAGTTCCTTTTCTAAATTTTTTATGTCACGCCCTAAAGTAGCTACGTGATCTTCTGCTGAGGTTAATTTTGCGCGAAGATTATCATTAATTTGACGTAAATTTTCATTTGCAATAGCAAGTTTTGAAAGTGTAGAATCAGATGATGATCCATATGCGTCAAAACTATCTGTCAAAGAATCGTTACTTTTATGTGAAGAAAGTGTTCTGTTATGTTTTTGACTTTCTTCGAGTGCCTTTTCCAATTCGACAATACGATTATTTTGATCTTTGGAAGCCATATCAAAATCTTCATATTTAGTAGCAGTTTCTACAAAATCTTCAGTTATACTTTCGTAACTTTTTTGATAATGTTCCATTTGTTTTGCAAGATCAGCATTAATATTTAATTGATCCTTTTTATCAGTTTCAAGTTGTTTGGTAATCTTTTCTAACTCTTCAACTCGATCGCGATATGTTTTAGTTTCATTGTGAGAATTCTTAAGTTGATTTGCAAGATCTTCAACTACGTTATCACCAGAATTACTATAATTTTTTATCATTGCTTCCTTTTGTGTATCGCTAAGCTCATTTTGTAATTTTTTGCATTGTGATTTAAGTGTTTCAATTTCTACATTGGCATTATTAAGTTTTGAAGATTCGAAATTACGATTACTTTCTGCTGCTTTAAGTTGTTCTTCCAAAGTTTTTATTAACTTTATGTGTTTTTCATCCGATTTTTTGACAGACTCTAATTCAGAATTAACTTTTGCCATTGTCCCTTGTAATTTTTCCAAATTTTCTTGTTTATCTTTTAAAGAGGTCTCTAATTTCTTAACCAATTCTTCTTGCATGGATTTAGCGAATTTGGCTTCCTCCAATTGTGCAGTCAATAAAACAATAGAACCAATACTCGTAGTTGCACTTGTGGGTTCTATAGATGCCAATTTTAACTCTAATTCCTTTACTAATTCACTTTGTTTAGCGGCAGTCTTTTTAGCAGCTTCCAATTCAGATGATGATGGACGTTCTAATAATCTTGTTTCTAATTCATAAAGTCGTGTATGAAGCTCTTTAACATGCTTAGCTTCAGAATTAGCAGACATTTTTGCATTTTCAAGATCTTTTCGTGTCTTTTGAAGAGCGGCCTCTAATTCAGAAATAAAAGAATCTTTAGATATAAGCATTTTATCTCTTATAAACAAAGTAGTATTGGCATCTTTTAATTTTTCTTCTAACTCTCGAGCCATTTCAATATGCATTTCTTCCGAAGCTTTGGCTTCACCAAATAAAGTTCCAACAGATGCAAGTTTCTTTCCAAGACTTGTTATTGTTTCTTGATCCAACTTTGAAGAATTTTTAACTTCTGCCAATTGATTTTCCAATTTACTTATAAAGAATTTCAACTTAGAAACTACTTGTTTTTGTGCAATTTCTTTTGTTTCAAGAATTTTTATAAGTTCAGAAACTCGATCAACATGTTCATCACGTTCTAATTCGAGTGATTTAATCTTATCTTTAAGTTCATTATTAAGAAGTTTGGCATTCGTTAATTCATCAGTTAGAGAACTAGCATCTTTATCAACTGATTCAATATCTTTTAACGTTTGAATTTGACTTTCTAATATTTTTATCTTTTTAATTTCATCATCTCTTTGACGTTCTGTACTTTCTAATAATTTTGATAAATCATCCAATTTTTTCGAATTAACCGAATTTACTTCTTTTGCTCCTGATAATTCCTCCTTAACATTATTTAATTCAGTTTCAAGAGATATTATATATTCTTTTTGTGTATTATATTCTTTTCTTAAATTTTCTAATTCTCTATTTACATTATCTTTTTCTCTAGATATAAGTTCAATTTGAGATTGTGATTGTTCTATAATACTTTTTTGTACAGATTCGGAATCCTTTAAAGTTATTATTTCATTCTTTAAATCTTGTAATTTAATTGATTCTTTTTCTGATATCTCTAATTTATTTTCTAATTCTTTAATAGTATTTTGTAAATCGGATTTTGCATTCTTCAAATCAATAATTTCATTTTTCAACAAGGTAACTTTTTCATCTTTTTGAAGTTGTTTTAATCGATTTTCAAGTGTAACTATCTTATTACGTTGTATTGCATCTTGTTCACGTAAATTTTCGATTTCTTTATTTAAGAAATTAACTTGTTGTGAATCAATAAAAGTAGTAGTTGAACATACTTCATTAAGAAGATTTTCATGATTTTGTATTTGTATATTTTTTCCTAGTGTTTTAGATTTTAATAAATCTACTTTACTACGTAAAGTAGCAAAATCATATTCTGATTTACTTAATTTAATTTGAAGTTCTTCAATCTTTAACTTATATTCAGCCTCAGTTTCTTTAGTTAAATTTAATTCAGATCTTATATTTATTATATCTTCTTCAACATTATCATTACTTTCTGATAATTGTTTCTCTAATATTATAATTCTTTCTTTTTGAGAAATTTCAAGTTCTTTTAAACGTCGTAATTCTTGTTTATGTTTTGATTCCTCGGTTTCTAATGATCGTAAATATTCTAATGCTTTAGTTTCTCTTTCTTTAACTTCTTGAAGTTCCTTTTTCACATCATTAATTTCGGATTGTAAAAATTCATCTATACATTTACTATTTTCTACTTTTTGTAATTGTAATTGAATTTTTAACATTTGATCTTGCATATTTTCTTCACGATTTTTAACTTCAGAAAGTTGAGCTTTTAACATTAAAGCTTCGGCTTCTTTTTCTCTTAATTTTTGTTGTAAAACTCCTTTATCAAATAAATCCCTTTTCAATATTTCGATGAGTTCATATTTACGTTTAAGATCTGATTTAAGTGTTTCTAATTGAGATTGTAAAGCAACTACTAATTCTTTAACACTATGTAAATTTTCGATAGAATCAGATTTACTTGCAAGTTCTCCTTGTAATGTTATCAATTGAGTTTGAAGTGTTTCTATAGATTTTTGTGTAGGATCTACAATATGAAGAGCTGAACTTCGAGAAGCTGGAATATGATTTATCTCCTTGGCTTTTGAAAGTTGTAATTCGAGATCTTTGACTTTTTCTTCCAATACTTTAACATTTTCATCAACATTTTGTTCAAGTTTATCAGATGAATTACCATCTGATATACTATCAGGAGCGGTGATGTTGTTACTAATCATATCGCTAATTAATTTATTATTCTTCTCTTCAACGACAAGACGATGATGTGCTTGTTTTACTTCCTGAAGTTCACTTTCAAGTTTCCTGATAATATTTAATCGATCATCACTTGGAAGAAGTAAAGCTGCTATAGTATGACTTTTAGCTTCAATATCTACTTGAAGTTTTTCAAGTTTCATACGAAGAATTTTAATTTCATTTTCAGCTTCAGAAAAAGTTCCTAAATTTTCACCGGGTTTTATAAAAACTTTCCCTTCAAGTTTAGAGGCTGTTTCCGCAATTATTTCAAGTCTTTGATTTTCTTGAATATAATCAAGTTGATCTTCCAATTCTTTAATTCTCATTTGTAATTTGTTAACATTCTCTTCAATAGCTTTATTGTCCGTTATGACTACATCATTAGTGATATTCTGTTCTTGAATTGCTTGACGAAGTTCATCTCGAAGAATTTGAATATTTGATTCAATCTTTATAATATCTTCTCCCTTATTATTATTTCCTTTTTCATAATCAGAAATTTTTTCAATCGTTCGTCTTTGTTCTTCCTTAAGGTTTTCAACTTCTTCACGAAGTTTACTTACAATTTCAAGTTCATCAAGTTCTATCGTAGAAGATGAGTTCGGTTGATCAGAACGATCCGCCGATACAATAGACATAACTTCCAATTGCGCTATAGTATCACGTTTTTTAATTTCTTCACGTAATTCTTCAACAATCTCAAGAGTTGCACGATGACTCATCTGTAAGCGTGAAAATTCATCTTTAAAAGCATCTAATCCTATCGTCTTGTCTTCATTAAGTGATTCAAGTTGTTTTAGCTCCATTTGAAGTTTTTGAACAATTGCAAGATGAGTAAGATCTCTTCTTTCTGAACCTCTAATATCACCTGATAAAGATTTGGATTTTCGATGGAGTTCACGCTTCTTTATAGCGGACAACGCATTATCAAAAGGATCTTTGGCAGTCTCTTCAAACCGTAGTTGTTGCGGAAGAGACATGGAAAAAGTACTTTGAGGTGACATTGGTGTCATAGGCGTTGATGGAGTTGTACATCTGAAATCATCAAACATTTCTGAACTTGTCATTCTTGCTTCATTAAGTTGTGCCTGAAGTTCACTTATTTCATTAAGACAAGCTTGATACTTGGCTTTTATCTCATCGAATTCTTCAACTGTTTTTACATGAGTTTGTTGTAACTTGACCAATTTTTTCTCTAAATCAACAGCTAATAAACGATCTTGTTCATCTTTTAATGATAATCCTTCCATTATTGGTATTGGTGAATAAGGTTTTTCATCTTCAAAAGTCAATGATGCTATTGACTCTGATCGTTGACGTATAACTTGCTGATTATTTGACTCAAATTCTTGAACTTTCATTCTTCTTAACCTTTCAAGTTCAATTATAAGTTTATTCACTCTCTCTTCAAGTTGAATAATTCTACGATCACGTTCATCAATTGCGCCAAGTAACATTTTCTTTTCTTCATCAGTATTTGCTTCTCTCATTTTGATTTCTAATTCAATATAATCCCTCTCTCTTTGTTGAAGTCGTTTCTCAAGTCGCTCAATCGTTTGATTAAATCTAGTGAGTTGTTCTTCACCCGATGCTAAACGTGATTCTAGATCTTGAATATAACCTTCACTATTAGATCCATTAGATTTCAATCGAGTTACTTCATTCTTTAATTCATTGATTAATTCTTGATCTTTCTTTTGTTCCTCTGAGAAATCTTCAAGTTTAGATTCAAGATCTTTTATATAACGTTCTGAAGTTTCTTCATGTTCACAATATTGTGCTATCTTATTCTTCAAATCGTTTATTAAATTCTTATTTTGTTCATTTATCTGTTCAGCATACTCTAACTTACTTTCTTGATCATGCATTATTGTCTCCGTGTGATTTAGAGCAGCACGCACAAGAGCCAATTGACTTTCAAGAGCAGATATTGATTTTTCATATTCTTCAATAACAGGTTCGACTGCTTCTTGAAAACTAGCAGGATCATGTTTCATAACCTCCTCTCCTTGTAATTGAATATCTTTTTTAACAATTTCACTTGTTTTTATATTATCACCTAATCCATCAAAATTGTCCTGATGTAACGCAAGTTTAGCGGAAGTTTTTGCATGTATTTGGGACAATTTAGAATATGAACGTTGTAATTCCTCTAATTGTCCTTCTAAATCTTCAAGGTCTTTGTTCTTAATATTATTGTTTTTAGGATCAATGTTTGTTGTAATAATTGTAAGAGGAGATTTTGGTCGAGCTAATCGACTTGGAGGAGGTGTTGAATCATTACTACTATTAGGAGTAATTAATGTTGGAGTATTCCTTCCAGAACTATTATTTGAACCATGATTAATAATATTATTTATTGTATTATTACTAGATAAATTTGAAGATTTTAAAGATTTGATTTCTGATCTTAATTTTAAGACCATATTTTGTAAATGTTCTATATCATGCCATCCAGCTTCTTCTTGATTAACTGTAGCAATATTTTTTATATTACGCGCTCGATTTGCATATTTAAGAGTATTAACAGTTTCATTTAAATTATATTCAGCAGGTGAAGCACAAGCTATCATTAATGTTTGAGCATTTCCACCTAATGAATCTTGTAGTAACCTAGTAAGTTTAGAATCTCGATATGGAATATGCGTTGTATGTTTTGCTTTGTTTGGATCACCTAAAGCTGATATTACATTTCCTAATGCAAGTAAACCAGAATTAATCGATATTCCTTCTTTAGCACGATCGCCTACCGCAGCAGATCTTTTTAGCTATATATGGATACAATATTAAAAAAAAAGGTTAAAAAAAAAAAAAAAAAAAAAAATTTTTTTTTTTAACAAAAATCAAAAATATCATTTTATTTGATCTTAAAAAAAAAATAATGTTAACTCACTCTCTCACTTCCAGCCAAATCTACAAAATGAAATTTACTCGTCACTGTAACGAGTTCCCCTTCATCAAATCTTCTACTCTGTCGTAAATTATTCATACTTGATTGTGGTCGAAGTCCGAATTTTGGTTCAAGCATTTTTGATGGAGTACCAGGTCGAGCAGGTGCTTGAGTTGCGGATGTGCCGACATATTTTTGTTGAATCATTGTAACAGAAAATATAGCATGTGATCGCGAAGATTGTGCATTCATATCAGTTGCACCGACCTGACGATTTGCAGAACCGCGTGCTAAAAATCTAATATAAAAAAAAATAATAATAAAAATAAAGAATGGGTATGGTTGATTTTTTTTTAAAAAAAAGACAATATTTGATATATTGATAAAAATAAAAAATAATCACCCCATAACTTCATCTACACTATTTACTCTCATTTCTTGTAACCCATTCCATATAATATTTCCTTTTGTATCTTCACGAATTGTAACTTGAGGTCTACTATCACCAAAACTTTCACCAAGAAGATCAATTAAATCCTCATTATATATTTCAATAAAAGAAACCTTTAAAGAAAATTTCCGCGATTTATAATGAGCAGAATTCATTGAAGAAAATAAAGTCTGCATTGCGCGAGGGATTATACCCTTTGATTCTGGTGGAATTGAATGACTATCAGCCGTACCCATTGTATGAGTTTTACCCGAAGAAGTTTGACCGTAAGCTAAAATTGTTACATTATAACCTATAATAAAAGTAAAAAAAAAAAAAAAAAAAAA